CACATGTACGCGCTTCTCGCTTGTGTGGGGCTCGGAAGTCGGGAGCCTGGTAGGAAACATCGCATCAATGCAACTACGCACACCACACAACTTGAAGATAACGTCCAATGGGACAGTCCCATCATAAGTCCCATGACACATCTTTTCGCATAACGCATAACCGCATAACCAATCAGAAGCTTAGTATAAGCTCATAGACGTAACGAAACGTCATTTTTTTATCCTATAAAGTCAAAGTTGCTAAAAAACACATTCAGTTATTGGATATTGGAAAAATTGTCCACAAAAAAATTGTGACACTTTTCTTATGATTTTCGGAACACGCCAAAATTACAAGCGTATGAATCTACAGACGATCAAGTTCTGACAATTTCTTTTTTTGTTAATGTTTAAACGCGTTAAGAGTATTACGAAAAAATATTGTTGAAATTTATAATGAAATAAAAGATATTTATTAATCTTTAATAAGAATGGCAGCTTTAATGAAGAAACGAGTATTGGCAGAATTTACTCAAAGTCAGGTAATAAATGTGTTTTGATATATTATTTTCCATTGATGAAACTATTTTTATAAATTATAAAATTATAAATTATGAAATTTTTACTCAGGTTATCAATGAACCACCAGCCAAGCGGTTAAAGACTCTAAGGTTACTGTCAACGAGTACAAAAAGTGGTACTGACAGCAGTTCAGTTTTAGCTTATATAGAATGTCTTGAGAAATGTAAGAGTGGGAATGATGCATTACAATTGCTTGTTCGTATCTCGGATGCTATAGCATGTATAGCACCAGAGGATGTTCCTACAATTGTAAAGAAGCTAGCGGAAAGATTTGCTGTTGAGACTGAAGCTGCAGTTAGAGCCAAAATTTTCTGGGTGTTTGCTGAGTTGGGGGAGATAACGCCTGACACAGTGGAAAAGGCAAAAATTGTGAATGAAACAGCTGAGCTTTTGAGAAATGAGGAATCTCATAGAGTAAAGAGTCAGGGATTATCAACACTATTAAAGTTGGGAGATTATCAAAAGTATATATATTTTATAGATTACCATATCTTATCTGTTTTTAGTTTTTAAGAACTGATTCTTATCTACTGAATATTTGTCTTAATTGAAAAGATAAAAATGCTTTCATTGAGAAATTAGTAAAAGCAGTATTTTGTATATTCAGGGCAATGGTATTGAAAGTTGCTCAGGAACATTTGCCTGACACATGGCATGGTGTTCAAACACGGTGTCTTTCTATCGTTGGACGTTATTTGACAGCGAGTGCTGCTGATGATATTTTAACATTGATTGGCAATTATGCTCGGTCTCAAGATCCAAGAGTACGTGCTCAAGCTTTTGAAACCATGGCGGAATTACATTCTCACAGAGGCTGTAGACTCCCTGCAAGTTTCTTCAAGGAAGCTTGTGCAGCTCTGCGAGATGATTACGAAATTGTACGCCGAGCTGTTCTGAAACTTATATGGCTTTTGGGTAGAGAGTATCCAGAGAAGTTAGTATATAACAGATATAAATGTATTTAATTAATAAACTTATAAACATTATATATATTTACAATATTATAACTGTACATACTTACAGCATCATCGTGGGACCTGATGGAGAGGATATACGCATGGTGGATTGTGCCTTCTCGCAAATTTGTAGTCTTATGGGAGATTTATCGCCTCGTGTGAGAGCCTCGGCGATGTCTCTTCTGGGAACGATGAAAAGTGTATCGCGACGTTATATAGAACAAGCACTGGATAAAAAACAGAAAGTAGTTGAAACGGATAGAAGTGAAGTTGAAGAAAAAAGTGGATCTTGCGGAGCATTTATTCACGGTTTGGAGGATGAATTTTTAGAGGTATGCTTAAAACTGTTTACATATTCTTCAGATCCATTTTTCCCTGTAAATAAATATCATTTTAGGTGAGAACAGCAGCGGTTGAAGCGCTTTGCACGCTTTCATTAGAACAGCCCAGTATAGCTAGAGTTTCATTAGACTTTATGGTGGACATGTTCAACGATGAAATTCAAGACGTTAGATTAAGGGCTATCGAATCTTTAAGGAAAATGTCGGCAAGCGTGACCCTTCAGGAAGACCAGTTGGAAACAATTTTGGGTGCACTGGAAGATTTCTCCGGAGAAGTGAGAGAGGGATTGCACGCTATGCTGGCTGCTAGTCACCTCGCTACCACAAATTGTCTTTACATGTGCGTTAATCGTTTGGTAGATAATTTGTCTCGATATCCTCAGGATAGAGAGAGCATTAGAAGTTGTTTAGCAGCGTTAGGCGCGTCACATCCGTACTTAACGTTGCCTTTAGTGCCGCAACTTCTTGGCCGGCATCCTTTCTTCGACACACCCGAGCCAGACGTGGATGAACCGTCCTGTATCCTTTGAATCAATTTTCATTGTATAAATATTTTTCGATTTTAAAGACATATATGATAACCTTAACTTTTGTATAACAGATGCAAGCGTGCTTGTTTTAATATTCAACGCCGCGTTACATTGTCCAAGTATGCACGCTCTGTTCACCGAACATGCTTCGAAACACTATCACTATCTGCGTGATACTATGCCGCATTTAGTTCCACGATTGCGGCCAGCACTTACGAACAGCTCAGGGATTAAAACGGAAGACATGGACGACGAAGAGAATAGGGACCAACGTGGTCGAGAGTTTTTGGAGAAAATGGTAGCCGGAATTGAGAACGCGAGACCAGGAGGCAGAGTCCACACGCAGCTTCTGGAAGCCGCGGCCATTGATCTCGATCGCTTGGCAGAGATGGATCATCATATGGAGGGTGCAGCACGTTTCGCCGCTCTGTATATTCGATGCTTACTGTTGATGAAATCCGTTCTCAAAGAATTCTCCGTGTCGTCGACGACGTCTATTTCAGCGAGCCCGATACCGAATACTAGCAATAACGTTTCCATTCTTCTTCAGCACACACAAAAGTACGCACTCTTCATTGAGGACATATTCGTTTTATGCTGCGGAATTTCGCTAAAAAATTTCAATGATAATTTGTACAAGAGGTACAATGTCGGCACATTTTTTTTCCAGGTTGCAACGCTTGTTCAGCGGATTGGGCGAGAATGAAGTTACGCTGGCTAACGATATGTGGTTGAAGGCATTGGCTATAGAATTGGTTAGAATAACAAAGAGCGCGACCGGTAGCGCATTGCCGCTGGCTCGTCATTTTCTGTCGGAGGCTGACGCTTTGCCTCAAGATACATCGAGATTGCCGCCATTCTCCAGGGCTCTGGTGCTACAAATACCGACACTGGCGGACGTGAAGCCAGGTTCCTTGACGCGACTCTTACTACCACTGCTCTTGACGCCGGTGGCGCAAGGAGAAGAACGACTGCCGAGACCGTCGGCGACGACGCGTTTCTGTCGAGCGTATATCGAAGAACCGAGAGGTGACGCCGACGCCGCGCTAAAATTCACGGGCGGACTTTTACTGGGAATCCCCTTGAACGCCAAGATATTGAATCTTCGCGACCCCACTACTCTGCGAATAAAATTGAGACATCCGGATCAACAAGTGCAATTATTGTTACCGCGACAATCAGACTTGCGTATGCAGTGCTCTGATCAGAAAGATTATAGGTTGAGAACGACGGTTCTTCTGTCGCATCAAGTATGGATGGAGCCTTGTAACGTGGAAATATCCTTGGCACTGCTGGTACCTGCGACTTCGATTTGCACACACCCGCCTTTGGATGATCCGTGCGTGATCGATTTATGCAAACCTACCAAAGTATCAATCGCACCGAAAGCTATCAAAAGAGGCATATAATTATATCATTGTAATTTTCCTTATCGATTAATTTGTATATGTCTGTAAAGTAAAATTTAGTATTTTACATATGACTTATGAATAAAATATCATGTGATTTAAATAAAAAAGCTAATTTATACCTTCAAAAAAATTTCTAAAATTTGCATGAGGTTACGAAAGACAGTATTTATTATAATGTTATTTAAATATTTTTTGCAATATAATTATGTAACGTGGCGTTTAGCTTTTTCTCGTAAAGTCAATTGTAGCATTTTGTACATATATATCTAATTGAATTTAAAAGACCTTGTAAAAATACTTTTTTTAAATAGCAAATAAAAAATTCACATTGTATGAAGAAGTTCAAACCATGGTGAGTAGCTATTTTGTGAGTGTCCCCAAATGCGAATATAAAAGTAGTACACTACGATTGAAGTATCGCTGGCATTACCGCATTCACCTTGAAGGAGGCTGCCTTCAACCAAAAAATAATTTTGAGCTCAAAAAATTATGCTGTAATTGTTAGACCAGGACTTTTCATTCAACCATTGTATTAGAAAAACTTTATTTAATATTTTAGATATTAACTTTAATAAGATTAACTTTAATAATATTTTAGATAACAGAAAAGGTAAGTTGGATAAACGTTTTACTGAAAAAAAATTTTTTTTTTATTTATGAACACAGTACTTTAACTGAATATAATTTGAAATCTACCCTCTAGCGATAAATAGTTGTAACTTTGACAATTGTCAACTGTAATGGTTGAACAAGGCATTTTTAGTTTTGGACAAGGCATTTTTAGTTTTGATATCTGTCAATAATATTCAGTATAAAAGTTTGTGTTTATGACAACAACAGTTTTGCGGAGAAAATGTCTGAATTTCAACCAAATAAGCATTATTTGCGCGAAGCTTTGCTTTTCTGTTTCAATTTGAAGAAAACTGCTGCTGAATCTCATCGAATGCTTGTTGAAACTTATGGGGAACTTGCTCTATCGAAAACAACTTGCAAGGAATGGTTTCGACGATTCAAACTTGGTGATTTTGACACGAATGATAAAGAACGTCCAGGCCAGCAAAAAAAATTCGAAGATACAGAACTGCAAACATTGGTGGATGAAGATCCATGTCAAACACAAAATCAACTTGCAAAAACGTTGGATGTTACTCAAGCAGCTATTTCCAAGCGTTTAAAAACCATAGGAAAGGTATACAAGGAAGGAAAATGGGTGCCATATGAACTGAAAGAAAGAGACATTGAAAGGCGAAAAATCATCTCTGAAATACTGCTTGCCAGGCAAAAAAGAAAGGGGTTTTTGGATCGAATTGTGACTGGCGATGAAAAGTGGATCTATTTCGATAACCCCGAACGCCGAAAAACCATTTGCGACCCAGACCAACCATCGACATCGACGCCAAAGTACAATATTGATGGGAAGAAGGCCATGCTCTGTATTTGGTGGGACCAGAAGGGTGTGATATATTATGAGATACTGAAACCTGGTCAAACAGTCACAGGGGATCTCCACCAACAACAAATAATCCGTTTGAGCCGAGCATTGCACGAAAAACGACCAGAATATGAGACAAGACAGCATAAAGTGATCTTGCTTCATGACAACGCTCGACCTCACGTCACTGAGGCTGTCAAGGAAACATTGGAAGCACTTCGCTGGGAAGTGCTACCCCATGCGGCTTATTCACCAGATTGTACCCCTTCCGACTACCACTTGTTTCGGTCGATGGCAGACGCACTTGCTGAGGAACACTTCAACTCTTATGAAAGCGTCGAAAAATGGGTCTTTGGCTGGATAGCCTCTAAAAATGAGTCGTTCTTTCGCCGTGGAATACGCTTATTGCCAGAAAGATGGGAAAAAGTCATATCTAACGATGGCCAATACTTCGATTGATGTATTTTTTCTATTTGTTTCTTAAATAAAGGCTTAATTTTTGCAAAATAGGCGGGTTTCAAGTTATACAAACAATAATAAAAGATATCAAATGCAATTTTAATGAGCGATATGTAATTGTACATAGGAAGGGTTCTGAAATTGTTTTACACTGTTGCGTATGATTAAAAATAGCTTTTTTATATACTTTTATGCATACAATGGTCATGTAAAATGTGACGTAATATTTTTTCTTGGTCTATTTATATAAACGTTTTTCTTCTCTTATATACATATATATACATAAAAATACATAAAAACTTTATTAACTGCAGTTATTTGTAATAACAATTTTTTATGAGGCCTGTAAAGCAATTTTTTCTTCGTAAAAAATATTAATAAACCGTTTTTTCTTATCAGATGATTTTTTTGTTTTTGCATATGTCATTGCTTGATAAACTTAAACTACTTAAACTATTGAACTTACTTAACTTACTTAAATCATCTACTGATGGCAGACACAGAATTGTTGTCTCTGTAATAAATTGATCCTGTGACTCATTACTTTGGTTACTTTTCAAATTCTCCCGATTCGATTTTGTCATCATTTTCGACAAATCTTTTATCATTTCTAGGAATGATCTTTTAATCTTTTCATTCTCATTATTTAAAGCTATATCATCTCTAGTAACATAATTTTCACTCTGAAGTGAATGTATTGATGTTTCTTCATCTGTTTTTTGAGTAGTTTGAATTATATCACTACGCTTATCAGGCAAAGTATTTATTTCTGTAAGCTTTTGTATCATTTTGTACTGATGACTGTATACTGATATTATTGTACTACTGTAAAATTCAAAATTACTCAATTTGTGTTCTCAAATTAATTATATATTCAGTCACAAATTCAACAGGAATTAGATTACCTTGTAATATCATCATTTGGAGCTTGTATAGAATAAAATAATAGCATCCAAAAGTCTTGATATCTTCTGCGAGTATAATCCACACAAGATATATATTGTAAATGATATGGCATATTTTCTTGTTGACAGCTTTTATATAAACACGGTACTATTTTTCTCTCCTGTTTTTCTAGAAAACAAAAAAATAAAATTTTTATACAATTTTAGAATAAAGTCTCAATTACAATATCATATAAAAATATAATTAAAAAACATACCAAAACTTAGAACGTGCGCATAATTTAAGAGCGATTGATTTGTTGGATATCTGAGAAAATCAGGTGATAGTATAACAAGTAATTTATTGCATCGCTTAGATATTAACGTCATCATTGCTTTATCCACATATCGTAGACAAGGAATCATACTTTCATAGCAACATAGCTGAAAATATTAATATAGTTTGCATTAATTGTTAATTTCAAAAATCATATATTAGTTATGTATAATACCTTCAGCTTATATTCTGTTCGAAGCTTTTCCATTATCTCTTTCGCAAAATCAGCATCCTCGTTTGCATATAAAAGAAATGCATCATAATGTGCTTTACTTAAACCTCGTCTTACCCTATTAGCATCGTCTGTAGAAAATAAATAATATTTGTATGTAAATATAATTGTTCTATAACTAAATTGTCAAGTTAAAATATATATATTATTAAATGCTAGATTCAAACCTAATGTAAGTATGTCGTCTTCAATCTGCTGATTTATTGAATTAGCTCTGTACTGTTGTTCAAAATATTTTACCGCGTCACTTTCTGTACCAACAAATTGTTAATCAATGATTATAATTATAAGTTTTGATATTTTTTATGAAATTAGTATAAATTAGTATAAATAACAATAAATGTATGAATTACTTTTTAGTAATACATACCAAACATTTTTTGTGTATCATCAATAATGTCCCATCTGTCCATCAGTTCCATTCTTGCTTGAAAATCTTTTATTGTAATATTTTTCTCTATCTTTTCTAATATGTAGTTTGTTGGATCTGTTTGAAACTCATGCCATGGCATAATATCTGCATTAATCTTATCTTCCAAGAAACATGTCAATCCTCTCCAATCTCTTATAATTTGTTTGCAAAGAATAATTAGTTATATATAATATTTTTGAAATTATGTAAAATATTGAATTTTAAATCATTAACAAATCTTTACCTTTGTAAACGATTCTCATTTGATAAAAATTTTGTGGGATTTAACATGTTTGCAATATATTCCTTGGTCTCAGCAGAAAGAGCGACGAATGGCACAGTTGATAAATCACTCGTCATTTTAAGTAAATTCTATTTCTTTCTTAATAAATATTTGTCTTGGCAGGACTCAATATTACACTTTGTACTATTGTCACTTTATAAAAATCTCCACTGATCTCTACAACGTATGCAGAGTATTTTAGCTTGTCGTCACTTTTTGGAAAAAGAAAATTTGTATGTTCTATATTTGCTGTTCTCTAAATTCAAACTATTCGTCGCAATTTACACGGAAGCAATAATAACTGGCATATGAAATAACTGGTCTGGAAGTCAGATCTGCTCTGATCTCGTGATCAATAAACAAGGCGTATATAAATGTATATGTATAGGTGGGGAAATCAGATTAATTCGACGCGTACATTCAACTACAATCAACTACAACGTAAGAGGAATAATCCATCACACCTTTTGCCATATAATACACACAACCGGAACAGAAAAACTGATTAATGCTGGGAGATGGGATAAATTTATCAAAAAGATTTGATACTTTTGCAGACGTTCTATGGGAACTTTTCAACAAGGAACTTTCTACGGGCGGAACACAAAGTCACAGTTTCAAACTCAATTGCTTCTCAACACACGCAATCTAAGAGTAACATTCCATGATTCATACTTCTAGCGTAACTCGTAACCGCATAACCAATCAGAAGCTTAGTATAGGCATAACGAAACGTTATTTTTTACTCTATAAAGTATTTAAACAATCCATGCATGATTGATTTATGCAAATCTACAAAATATCAATCGCATCGAAAGCTATCAAGAGGCATATAATTATATCATTGTAATTGTAATTTTTTCGAATAATTTGCTTATATCTTCATAAAGTAAAATTTGATATTTTACATATAATTTATGAATAAAGTATCATGAGATTTAAGTAAAAATGCTAATTTATATCTTCAGAAAAATTTCTAAAATCTGCATGAGATTACGAGAGACAGTATTCATTATAATATTATTTAAATATTTTTTCTTATTTGAATGAAAATATTTTATTACAAAATCAAATTTTGTTCTCATTTATTACAACAGTAAAAGATATAATAGAGCGCAATTCTTTTCATAAAAAGTTTTTCTAAATATAAGACAATATGCACATGATTGTAATTAGATCATTCTTGGCTCCTATTCGGTGAATGATTTAGCGCACGATGGTTTTATAAATAAGTATCCTGCCGCAACTGTACATTGTTCATCTCCAACTGGAGAACGAGCTGCCGCTGAAATAAAACAATAATTTTTCGTTACTTATAAGTTGCTTCTACAATTCTTATTTCTTTTTTTATCGATTTGCTCGATTAAAAATTTATTGATAATAAAAAAACCACATACGCAGTGAACGTTGGTTTTTCAGGTTCGGGATTCTTCTGAGCTAAACTACCGAAACTGAGACCACCTGGTTGATTGGCTAAAGATTCGAACATACTGTTGCTTGCTACCTCTCCAAAAACTTTCGGCATATTTTCCATTGTAGAGCCTCCCTGCATAGCAGGTTGATTTCCAAATCCCTCTAAAAAATTATTTTCTCATTATAAATGAACAACAGATATGCAAGCTAATATAATTAATTATGTAATGTGGCGTTTAGCTTTTTTTCATAAGATCAATTGTTGCATTTTGTACACATATATCTTGGATTTAAAAGCTTTGTGAAAATAGTTTTATACTGATTTTCAAAGATAGAAATTGTATATTTACATTTTTTAATTAATACGAATATTAATTATACTGATATAAGCTTTCACTCACCTACGATGGTAGGTTCAAACGTGGGAAACGTGCCAAAGCTACTGCCTCCGAAAACTGTTTTAGACCCTCCGAAGACGGGTGACGATCCGAACACCGGTTTAGCGCCAAACGCAGGAGCTTGTCCGAAGGCTGGTTGATTACCAAGCACAGATTGCTGTATCGGGGACGTGTTGGGCCCAGCAGCAGGCCTGCTGAAAACATTGCCGCCGGTGGGTGAAGCGCCGGTTGCCGTCGGCGACGCATTGCTCATTGTGTTGCCAAACGGAATAGGTGCCGTGTTCGTCGCTCCGCCAAACATGTTACCAGGTTTCGGAGTATTGGTGTCGAATATAGATCCCGATGTACCGAATCCTGTGTTACCGCCGAAGATATCTCCGCTCGGCGGAGGCAATGGAGTTGACGGCGCGAAGATGGAGTTCATATTGCTGCTGCTGCCGCCGCTGCTGCCGCCGAATATAGAGGTGTTCGGGGATGTGGCGGGTATATTGGAGAACACGGATCCCGATGTGCCGCCGAACAGCGTCGACGGGGGACTGAGTATCGGCTTCGTGAAAACGTTCGCTGTGGACGCCGGTGTCTGCTGAACGTTCGAGAACTGCGCGTTCGACACCGGAGATCCTACCAGGCTTTTGCCGAATGCTGGCGTGATCGAAACCGCTGCCGATGTCGTCGCCACCGCTGCCGCCGTAGCGAACGAGATCGTACCCGCGGAAGTATTGCCAGAGCTAATCCCGTAACTCGTGGCCGGCATGCTGGTGGCGGCGGTGTCACCGAACGTCGCTTTATTCAGGGAACTCTGGAAAGGAGACACGGTGCCACTTGCGGGTGTCGTTGAAGAACTAGGAGTCGCGGCAGAAGGTGCATTCGCGAAGCTGCTGAAGACCGACGCCGTCGGCGCTGAGGTTGACGTTCCAAAGGTAGGTGCGATCGAGGGGAAAGCAGCCGCGCCGAAGGTCGTTGTAGTGGACGGTGTAGTCGTCACTTCCGGAACCATATTCTTGATAACAGTCTGGCCGCTGAATATCGGTGCCGCGGATAACGAAGTCGGAGCAGCCTGGGCGGCTGCGATTCCGAAACCGGGCGCTTTCTCCGGCGTGATCTTTTCAATGGCGACCGGACTGGTGAATGGCATCTCCGTTGACTTGCGCTCCACGTTGGACGCGGTCCTCGTGTCCGCGAGGCTAATGGTAATCCCGCCTATAACGGCAACGGTTGTAGCAGCAACGGTGGGTGCCTGTGCTGTTATAACCGGCTCGGATACAGCGAAGCTCATGGAGGTCGTGGGCGCGTTTAACTTGACATCGGCGGTGTTGTTCAAAAGATTCGCCGATTGAAGAGTCAACGCACTGGCTGATCCTAAAGACAGAGCCGAGAAATCCATCGTCTGTATCGGTGCTTGAGCTATAGACGATTCCACGGTAGGCTGCGCGGATTTCGCATAAGCGAAGGACATCACCGTGTCGAGCGCGGTACCGGACGAGGAACTCTTCGCGACAGACGGAACTATGTTGGCTCCAGCGAAACTGAACGTGGAAGCGGCATCGGTTTTCACCACCGGCGCCGCTGAAAGTGACGGTAGATTGCGAACGATACGAGCCGTATCCGATAGCGGATACTCCGTCGAAAGTACGTCCTTTAATAATCCAGTCGAGAACAAAGCAGACTCCGCCGCTCTGGGGACGCCGTCGTTCGTCGTTAATTCTTTATTGCTTCTGGCAGTTGCGTCCATAAGGGGGGACTTGGGAAAGAGGATTTCTTGAGGTTTCGCCGCTGACGTTCCGAACGTGATGGACGACGGAAAGCCAACATTCGGCTCCTGTTTCGGTTTTGATTGAGAGATCATGGGAGTTACCGTAGGTACGGTAGGTTTCTTGTCCGTTTGTTTCGTAGAAATCGTAGTGGAGAATGAGACAGTTGCAGGAAGTGGCTTCTGCTGCGTTTTATTCTGCACAGCGGCGCCGTTTGTATCGGACGAACCGATCCTAGCAACAATACTATTCAACGAAGCGAGGGGACTTTGCGACTTGATCTGCTTCTCAACTGTCTGCTTGACGGTGGTATTTTGTTTAACAATTGGTGGTTCGGTTTTAGTTTTAGCTTCCTGCGTGACTGCAGAACTGTGAGATGCCAAGGAAGACAGTGTAGCCTTCAAACGATCTTGAACTGGTGATGGATTAATCGACTTGATGATTCTCGGTGGAGATTCGGTGAGCAATGCCTTTAGTTTAACCTGCTTTTCATGCGTGAAACAGAGAGTTCTTTTGGCGATAGCTTTGCAACGTGCGTCTATGACATCGGTTTTTCCTCGCATGGTGGTCGCTGGTGATTTCGGCGTATTTAGATGCAGACTCGCCATGGAGCGGTCGAGACTGGCCACTTCAACGACCGTAGAATATCCCAACGAGCACTTACAAGACTTCCACAGACGCGCGGTTTGCTCGGTTTTCTCGTTTTGCTTCGCGATAATCCTGCTGTACATCAGAAGATTCTGATACACATACTCCAAGCTGGGAATTTTCATCTTCGACTTTTCCCGCGCCTTCTGCTCCGACCATTCCAAATCCAACATCTTACTGATTTGACCGAGCTGTGTGTGCATGTAGTAAAAACACCGTTTTAGATCCGCTATCTTGTTGTTTTCACTGCAGTTTCTGCAGGGAGTATCGGCACTGGCTGCGTTCTTCGATTTCGTTTCTTCGACCCACGCGAACGACTGAAGCAACAGCGCTTTTAAGCACGCTATATCGGTGGACAGGCCGTTTGTCGTATCGTTTAGCTCTCTCAGAAAATCTTCTATGTCTGCGGTTATCTCGCTGAGTCGCTTCTTCTCTTCGAGCGTGCCGCACTCCCACACCTGCGGTTCCAGCCTATTTCGCAATTCTTTCTCAAACAACGCTTGTTCCTGGAGATAAGCTCGCATCCGTATGCTGTCGTCGATGGAAGCTCTCCGTTCCACCACTTGTGGCGAGCTTGCTTCTTTATTATCCACCGCTAATCTGATTTCCGGCTTTGCAGGTTCCGGCGGCGGCTCTTTGGGCACAATCGGTTTTATAATCGTGATCGGCGCAGGTTTTTCTTCTTGCAGTTTTGGTTGTTCCGCCGGCTGCTCCACGGGTTGTTGGAAGAATCCTGCTGCTTTCAGAGAATCACCAAATATATTCGTTACTACAGCGGGCTTTGGTCGTTCTGGCATGATCTCCGATTGCTTTGGACGCGGCGTGCTGGTCACTGCGGTATTTATATTAAACGACATTTCGGGTAAAGCACTGGGTTGTGACGGAGGCGGAGCCGTGACAATTTCTGTGGGAGGTGAATTAATGGGATGACAGTTGGGCGATAAGTTAACCATGTGAAAGCTGCACAATCTTCCGAATGTTCCAAGAATATGCAAAATGGGAACTGGATGAGGCAATGTTGATTCCGCGCTCCACAATAGTTTATTAGTTGGAGATTTGTCTACAGCCAAACCTATCGGATAAACTTCTGTAGTTCTTATCAGAGGCAATAGTGCTCTGCCACTGTCGATTAATTGCCACTGATTCCAATTTACACCCCCATCTACAGTGCCTAATACAGCTATATCACTGCTGGTGCCACTACCCGCCATAATAAGTCCCCACTCTGGCACATGCTCGAAATAATAACGAGGAGCGTTTCCTTCCCCGTCAGCGTCGGGATATCCGTATGTAATATCTTCATAACATGTAAATATAGCGTTTGTCTCTCCTCTCGGCGCGTCGACAATGAGAACATTGATGTTCCGCTCATTGTTCACATAAGCGGCACAAAATTGATAATTGCTGATCCATAAAAGGCTAATAATTTCTCCGATAAATGGCGAGGGACCTGCGATAGTCCTAGCAACCTTCAAAGTATCTGGCCTCAATTGAACGATGTCTCCGTTTCTGCAGCCAACTGCTATTTGTTTGCCCTTGGGACTCCATGATGCACACAGTGCTTGCGGTTCGTTGGACACTTTGGAAAGTACAGATACTTTTGGTATAGAATTCTCTCTTACTTCTTCCTCCACTTTTAACTGGAAGCTACCAATGGTACAATCACTAGTAATAGTGCAAAGATGTGCAGGTACAGTAGGATTCCATCGTATATCTGTCACATAACTGTCTAACTTATTTGACGATGTTATTTCAAGTAGTAGAATGAGACTCTGAAAAGAAATAAATTCATCAATAATAGAATATTCAATTCCTACATTTTTCTATAGTACTAGATACAATTTTGAAATGTTTGTAAAACTTCTGCAGATACACTACGTGCATACATTTCTAGCTAGTGAATGGGCATCATATATCAATATTGTAGGCTTCAGTGCTACAGCTATAGCAATATAATTATAATCACAATTAATTGCAATCTTTGATATAATTCCTGGCAATTGAAGTTCTATCTTCCACTCTGGATTGTTCTCCTCTGCTGGCTTTAAAACGGTAATTTTGTCATCATGTCCTACATATAACAGTCCTCGTTTCTTATCCGCCACAAGAAGGCTACAAGCGGGAGGAATGTATGTGGGAATTTTGAAATCAAATACTTGAGATGTATTTGACTGTTTAAATAGAAAGTCCTGAAAGCATAAAAGCAAGTGAGTAAAAGTTAAACATTCAATGGCATTATCTATATATTTATATGTTCCACAGCGTTAAAACAAATGTATATTTAATGTTTATTAAAGACAAATATCTTACATAAAATTTATCAAGATTACTCCACAATTAATTTTATTCATTTGGCAAAATTCTTATTTATTATGCAAGCGTACGGAGATATATGCATAATCAACTTTAATAACTACGCACTTTAAAAGTCAATATCAATGTCAAAAGTCGCTTATATAGAATGTGTGTTCAATCTTAGTACAATCGGCAAAGAAATAATGCCTCGTAAAGAAAACGAGTAGAAAAATATAAAAAATTAATTTTTCTGAACATTTTCATAGTTATCATTGCATTAAAAGCAACTTTTATCACAACTTTCTCGCCGGTTGTACTACGACTTATTGCACATGTATTATTTCTGTTGTAATAAAATGACGCGCAGTACCTGCACATATACCGGATCCAGCGCTGTCTTCATTTCTGATCGTTAAATAATTTCTCATGAATAATAAGTAACAGCAACAAATAAGATCAATGTATATCAAATGTAACCACGTTTTAACAAAGTTTTAACCGACAGTGTTAACCAGCACTAACTACACGATAGTATCATGATAGCATCGCAATGTTTTGAACTTGAGTTACGAGAATGCAAAATGGTTGCATCCAGTAGAGAGAATGTGCAATCGTCATACAGTCATCAAACATGATTGGTTTTTTCTTCCAGATCCAAAATAGAGTGTTTCAATGAGCAACGACACACTTGTCAGAGAAACAGATTGGCTATTGTACAGAAAATTTTTGGAGTAATAAAATTATTTTTTTTTCGATAACCAATCAATCGATGTCGTTGTAAACGAGCCTTAAATCCAAATTAACCTGTCCGATCCATGATTGTGTGATTTCGCATTTGTCACAATTTAATCTCATTAAATTTTTTAATTATATTATGAGTGAAATATAATACAAAAAGCGGACAGCCAACTTTAAGCTAGATTAATTTTATTTTGCCTTTTAAAATCAAAATTAATTTTCGATACAGAGAAGAGAATAGGTTAGTCTAGCCACGTTGATGTAACCGGTTCTCTGCTGTATCATGTGCATATGCGATATTTTAATGAATTGAACAAATATCTGAATAAAAAATGTAATGAAAACTAATAAATATACCACCGTCTCCATTCTTAATGCGTGAAACGTTATAAATACAACACAATGTCGGATAAAATGGTATTTGTTACGGTTGGCACAACAAAATTTGACAATCTGATAACTACAATATTAAGTCGCGCTGTTTTAAAGGTAATATACACATTTTATCATTATTTATTTCTCGTGTTACAGTCGAATATTTATTTTTTATTATCATACATCTTTCAGTATGTATAACGTGTTATGCAGTTACTATCGCGATTTCAGGCTCTATCAGCGCGGAATTACAAACATCTAATTTTGCAAATTGGTAATAGCAGTTTAGAGATAGATTGCACTGCACGTTGTGGTTTCAACAAAATAGAAACCTTTAAATTAAGTCCATCCATCGGAGAGTACATACAATCGGCAGATCTTGTGATAAGTCATGCAGGTGCGGGAAGTGTGCTAGAGGCTTTGGAAAAACGTAAACATCTAATTGTAGTGATAAATGATCTCCTCATGGACAATCATCAAGTAGAACTAGCTGAGCAACTGTATAAGGATGAGCATTTATATTACTGCACTTGTCAAAATTTATTACACATCATAGAAACAATGGACTTGATGAAATTGAAGCCATTTGTTAATGATAAAAGTGCAAACATTGCTAATTTTATCGATAAAGTAATGGGATTTAGGTGAGAATGTTGAAGTAGTTTTGTCTCTGACAAAACATGGAAAGATAATTATACAAGTTACAAGTAGTTGTGGGAACAAGCAGAAATATTTATATATATATTTAAATTTTTAACATGTTTACAGTAAGAATACATATTCCATAGAATTTAAGTTCATTACTGTAATATATTATGCTTGATATAATTACAATAGAATATTTAAATAACCATTCTTCAAAACTATGTTTCCACATTATAGAAAAATTTATAACTTTGCATCAGTTAAAACCGTGACAGATCAATGGCAGTTAACGTTTCGTTAGATAATTTATAAATTATAATTGTGGATATCTGTCACTGTCAACGCAACAGTTAATTCTGTAAAAGTATTATAAATGGCGTTTGCTGTTAAACAAATTCAGTTCTTCAAAAAAAAATATCAATTATATCTTCATGTATCAACTATAATCTTTAGCAAATAATAGCGCTGTTCTATGGAGCGATAAGAACAATTGATATATTATTAATAAATGAAATAAATTCCATTTCGATATAACACTACTATGTTCTGTGTGTTATTGCTTTATGACATACTTTCAATTTATTTTTCACATGAAGATACAGGTAGACATGAAGAAAACTACACAGAATTATAGTAGTGCGTTTTAATTACAGACTAAACCAAGCCGTGTCATTTCCTTCAGAAGTTCATTACCCATTTGTGCAGGACTCCTCGTTACTATTACACCAGCCTGATAACAAAATACTCACGTATATACCGCTCGATTCAAGAAATTATTTTACATATAACAATGTTATATACGAGTTCTTACTCACTTTTTCGAGTGCATTAATTTTATCTTGTGCACCACCTCTTCCTCCTGAAATTATGGCACCAGCATGACCCATTCTTCGTCCAGGTGGCGCAGTAATACCAGCAATAAAGGATACTACTGGCTTAGCTTTTCCACCCTACAACACAAATATGTGTACATTGTATTATAAAAAATTTCAGCAAACAAGATAACTATTCTTAGATTACAGGATAAGATGGGATTTGACTAGGATGGATTGGGATTTGGGTACCAATACTTCAGAACAGCAACCAACAGTATTTTTCTCGATGAGATATTCTGCTGCTAACTCTTCTGCACTGCCACCAATCTCTCCGATCATTATAATACCATCGCAATCTGGATCAGTAAGAAATACATCCAAACAATCAATGAAATCAGTACCGTTGAATGGATCACCACCAATACCAACGCATAATGTTTGTCCCAATCCAGCCTTGAAACAAAGCAGCATTATAATATATTTAATCTCTCGCAATATATATATTTCTAACATATTTTATTAAAATATGCTTACAAGGGTCGTTTGATTCACAGCCTCATAAGTTAGAGTTCCTGACCTTGACACAATACCAATCTTTCCTTTATGATGTATATGGCCGGGCATAATACCAATTTTACACTGTAACATTATACATTATAAGTGTACTTCATTCTCAAATTTCAGAATGTTTAAAATTATTTCTCTACATACCTGTTCGGGTGCTATTATTCCAGGGCAATTTGGGCCAATTAGACGGGACTTATTTTGTTCGAGTAATCGCCTCTTCACTTTCACCATATCATGTTGAGGAATACCCTCTGTAATGCAAACTATTAATGGCATTTCAGCGTCCATCGCTTCCATAATGGCTGCTGCTGCTGATGGGGGAGGAACATAAATGACTGATGCAGTAGCTCCGGTTGCTTCTTTTGCCTAAAAAAGAACAAAATAATCAATTAAATATTATGGCAAATAAATAAATATTGTAAAAAGATAAGTAATACACTTACTTCTTTAACTGTCTTGTATACAGGCTTTCCAAGATGTTCTGTACCTGCCTTCTTAGGGCTAACTCCACCTACTATCTTTGTACCATAATCAAGAGCCTGTTGACAATGAAAAGTTCCTTGCTTTCCAGTAAAACCTTGGCATATCACTTTGGTATTTGCATCAATTTTTAAATTCTTCCTAGTTTCTGTGTAGTTAAATCTCACTTGAGGCCGTAATAAATTTCCACAGTTTCTCACTGAAAAATTATAAAAGACAATTGTAATATTAATTATTCATTATAAACACATACCATTCAATTTGTTATAATGAAAAATATTGTGACAACTGGAGCATATTCATTACTTTAAAATGACAAATATAAACTAATATTAATATATAAACTTAATACAAAAATCTACTTAATACAGACTAAAAATAAAAAGCACATTTGTTGCCTTTTGCTATTTTTAGTAGCTATATTGAATTGTAAGATTACTAGGTCAAGGTTCACTTGCTGTCATTTACCCAAGGAATGTAATCTGACATTTGTACTATGAAACAAACAAGAGTAAAGTACATATGTAAATTAAAATATGTAATATTTTACAACGGCAAGAATCAATGTAAAAACAATAATATCGCTGATGTTACAGTTGTGAAATTTATTGACGTAGGAAGGGTCATGATTATCATAGGGAGGACAAATCACCCAATTGCTCCGCGTACGATGTGCGATAAGCGCGTACGACACATACATTGTTCTCAATTAACAAAGCGCATATTTTTTTTTTGTAGAGGCGCAACTCCAAGGCGATCATATTCTTTCTTACATAATGAAATATTATCATAAACACGGGCTGTCAGCATTATTTTTAGTCTGTTCACGGCCCGCGCATGGCGTAATCGGGAGAGAAAAATCACGTTACATGTCGTTCAAACGTTTGCCGAAGTTTGAAGAATAATGACGACAGAGCGCGGAAATTATATAGACACAAAATGTATCGGGGACGCACCTGTGAATTTTGCTAACGACCTGGCAGCCACAGCCATCTTCTAATCTGTCCTTTTCGTTGAGGAGGCAATGTTGCTATTGAATTAACACGGGACCACCATAAGAAGTACTAACTACTAAGATCTGACAAGAAGGTGCAAGAAGGTCAAGTCCAAAGGAACACAGCCAGTCAGCGGATATCGCATGAAGTTGCATGAAGTCGACTCGATTATGGCACGAACTTACAAAAGAATAGAGTGGTAATTGACGTTCGCTCTTTAAATAGTTTCATCTGATTGGATATGCATCAATTTTAAAGGTTTATTCAGACGATTCTGCATAATTGCAAAATGCATAGAAAAATCGATCAATTTTGTCTGATGCAAATTTATATTGAACATACGATAGATTGGTTCTTTTACAAATTTGTATCACGGAATTATGCAAGTTTATCTGGATATATCATTAGCACGGCAGATTGGACAACTTTTCGGCGCTAAAAGTTTTAGCGCTCAGCGATTGGTAATCGTGGAAATGCTGAAAAGGTAGCATGCTGTACGATCAACGGAACTACTAAAAATGAGCTGTAGTTAACGTAAGGTACGATTGATGGTATCGCAGTTGCCAGATGTGCATTACTAACGAGACGGTCTACGTCAGTCGTAAATTCTTTTCGATTTCATTATCATTACTCCTGACATAAGAATTTAATTATATCCACGTTTTTTTTACATGGATCGCGATTTAATAAAATTCGCAGTGTTCCGGTTCCGAAGGTAATATCGGCGCGTGTGGAAAGTATGATATAAGTGACAGCGGTGTCACGGGAAATAAATCTGATAAAAAATGACGTGGTGAAGATATGCTTATCGTTTGACGAGAGCGTCGAGGGAGTTACAAGGTAAATGCACTTTCGGCGCACGGATTATTCCATCGCGGTATTGATCCGAGATTTTATCGCAGGAACATATAGTAAGATCCCGGCGATATGCCCGAAAAGTCATTATCTTTCGGCAGTATCATGAAACTTTTCTTCCTGTAATTTGATAGCGTTCTCGGGAAACGTCGTGCGTAACGCACAACATTGCCATTAAGAACGGAAAATTTTTCACTTTGAGACCGAGCCTTGATTCGGATTACTATCAGATATTATAGATCGGAAATATTCGCATCCGAAAAAAATCTGTCTTATTATCTGAAATATAATTTCGCGTATCATTATAATATTTCACTGCGCAATTAATTATTGTAATTTATTTCGAATACTTGGGCTACAATGTTACGCAATTGAATATATTAATTTAGCTAGTTTCATATCTAATGTATTATCTTGTTGCAAATCAGTGAAGAAGTAGAATGGAAGAAAGCACAAGTTCAGAAAATGTTTGGCATAAGGGAAAGCCTGAGGAACAAAGTGAGCTGTTTCATGGAGAATCCACAACCGCATCCGTAGAAGCTAATCCTACATCGTTAGCTGATATATTTGATACAGCATTTACATCAACTGTAGATCCGTCTCCACAATCTCGATTTACCTCAGGTATATTTGGGAAATATTATAATTTTCTTAACCTACGCATAAAGGATACTTTAAGGATTTCTTGTCGCAACAGATGAGATAAATCAAATATATGTCACTTCTAGGTAATGAAATGGAATATGAGCATTTATTTGCAGAAAGTGATATTGAAGAGTCAGACGTGACGACTATAGGTTCTTACACAAATTCAGCTCATTCTACTGCTTCCGAGAATAATTTTGTTTATGGAAATTATTTAACACAACCAGATACAACTAGTGATTCGCAAGAATATTGGCAGCCTGATCTTTTAAATTGCAATATGTGCCAAAATAGACAAGAAAGAAAAAAGGAGCCTCCAGCTCGACAGTTAAATAACCCTTGCGAGGATAGAGTGTGTGATAATTATAGAAGAAAGAGAATATTACACGATCGTGATTTGGGTGTCAAACATAAAACTAAAAAGTGCGAAGACCAGAAATTATTAAGTGGACAACAGCCAGATAGTTTGAGTATAGCTGGACCATCTAGATCATCTAGACCATCTAGACCATCTGATTCTATGTCAAACAAGTATTTGACTGATATTTATATAACTATTTTTTTATTTTATTACATTGTAATATAACAAAATTTTGTAAATTGTTTTACTTACAGTGTAACAAGATCAACGGAAGACACGAATGTTTTACAAAATATAGGAAGTGATAATGCCAATGAGTCTAATAGTTTGTATCACTCAGTTATGTCAAATGTGATAACTCCTCAAGATGTGTATGCAGTACATACATCTCGTACGTTTATAGCATTTATGACACATTAATAGTATTTTGTCAATAATTATTAAATAATTTATTAATTTTGTAATCTTGATAGAAAATGATGACACACCATCGGCACCAGATTTGCAACTAGATTGGTCCTCCAGTAGTGATAGTGATGATGAGGATGGCTCGGTTGAAGTTCTTGGAACTGTTAATCATAATGCCAAGGTATTTATATATAAGAAATATAAAAATCGTTAAAAGTAATTAGATAAGTCATGTTTAACTCTTTTTGTAGAAAAAGTTATTTTAATTACTGTTTGTGTAAAGCTTGCCATGGTCGAAACAAGACAATATTTTTATGTTTTTTGTTATTTGATTTTTGGCTGTATCAGCAAAATCAAAACGTGGGCTGCAAATTACTTCAAACAGTTTCACTTTATGATCATTTCGTCATTATCGAAAAAATGAATAGTTTACAAGTAGTATTTTTTGAAGATATATGAAGTTTTCTTTATGAAATCCTAAGATTAAAAATAAAAAAAAATATACACGTAGTATAAAGAGTTTCAAAAAATATCAGTGTAGATATCATGAGAATTTTATTTAAGAAAGAACATATTTCTTATGACGTTATAGAATTCATTGCAAAGTACGAATGAAGATAATCGTACAGTCACTGTAGTTGACTTAACTGTAGAATCTGATGAAGAACACACGCCATCTGCGCCATCAAATCCCGTAGTTAATCCATGGTCGGCAGATTATAACCATAGGTGAGCATTATATTTTTACATACAATTGTTGAGAAGTTTCTATCAAATTATAATTTTGTTATTACTACCATGTTATATACATGTAATAAAATCCTTTTTAGAACCAATCCACATTGTGTGCATAGGTCATCAGATTTTTGGAATCATTTGCATAATACACATAATAGAGGCACGTTACACACTCACAGAGTGCATGTTCATTCAGGTTACGGAGCTGTAGGAGGTACAACTTTTTCATATTTAAAATTTTATAAACTACTTTAAAAAGTGGCATAATTAAAATACCACATGTGTTATAAGAATGGAAATTAAATTAAACATTATTATTATTATAAACAGATGCATCTGCAAATGTAACGAGACCACGCATGCATCCTGTGCAAGAGAGATTGTGGATGACTCAACAACGTATGCAAGAAGTACATAGACGAAGGCTTTATCATAGAACTTTGCATCCTGCGTTAGTTTCAATATATTACACTTTATCTAACAAAAGAATATAAACTTGATTTACAAATCAAACTTTATTATTAATAGTATGGGACCATGTAATGCTCATGGGCATTCATCAACGCAACATATTTGCGGAGGAGGAGGAGGAGGAGGAGGAGCAGCAGGAGCAGGG